TGCCAAGATGACTGGGATGTCTTACTCCCTCCACTGTTGATGGCCACTGGATACACTCCAGCAAAGTTGATGTTTGGCAGGGAACTTCGGTTGCCAGTGGATCTGTTAACAGAACGCCCACCTTATAAAGAGTTGCCTGAAAATGTGTCAGAGTTTGTGAAAGTGTTATCTGAAAGGGTGGATGATATTCACCATCAAGTGCGTTCAAACTTGAAAACGTCTGCTGATTCGATGAAGTTAACTTATGATAAGAGATCTACTGAAGTCAGCTTTGTACCAGGAGACAAGGTGTGGTTGTATAATCCCAGAAGACCAAAGGGAAGTCTCCTAAGTTGTCTTCTCCATGGGAAGGCTCATATGACATAGTGGATCGTCTCTCAGATGTGACTTTCCGGATAAAATGTGGTCGGTGAGGTAAGCCAAAAGTGGTGCATGCCAACAGACTTTGGCATTATCACGGTCCAGGACATTTCAGTTAGAACAAAGTGAACAACAGAACAAATGACGCGGCTGTAGACGTGCCACCTGAAGAAGCCACTGTCAAAGAAGAAACTCTACTCAGTTTTGAGAAGGGAAACAGTGAAGCCCTTGATGAAGTTACTACCACTGATGTGACTGTTACCGACGATAGGATTTCCTGATGAAGCAGATGAACTCCACATGAAGCAGAAGCCAACGAGACGGAGGCCAGTACGAAAGAAGATACGTCCCATAAAATTAAGATTCTTTGTTGAATTGTAATTTTGTGTTTGTAAATACTGTACATTTAATTAAGTTATTGTTAATTGTTTATTGGTTTAGTGTAAGTGGCTATTGTTCGGGACGAACAATACTAAGGAAGGGGTAGTGTTACGACAGCGGAGGTCACGTGACGCTATTAACACGCCACGCGCTTCTAGAACGTTCATGAAGCGTCGGGAGACTACTAGATATGGAGTAGTCTTGTATATATAAGACCGGCCAAGAAGCGACGGGAACAATGTGTAATTGAACTGTGGACAGAGTATTGTTGAGTTGAGCACGTTCGTTGTGAATTATAGCGTTTCTTACAGCGCGACTGTGGAAATTAAGTGTATTGCAAAGTTGTATTCAGAAAGAATAAACCAGTTTTATTTAAGAAAGGACTTGTGTCGCTAAAGTTTCGTCGGAACGAAATTTACGGAAAATTAAATTTCGAACGGAGACGTAACAATATATTAATAAACCCCGAGTTCTCTAGCTTTGTTTGTTTGTTTTGAATTTCGCGCAAAGCTACACGAGGGCTATCTGCGCTAGCCGTCCCTAATTTAGCAGTGTAAGACTAGAGGGAAGGCAGCTAGTCATCACACCCACCGTCAACTCTTGGGCTACTCTTTTACCAACGAAGGTTCTCTAGCATATGATAAGTAATCTTTGGTTCCTACGAGATCAGCTAGTCAACGATTAATGCAGACCAAAGGTGAGTCCACTTGCAAGTAATTCCTGATTCGCAGACAGGAATAGCTGTGCTAATTAAATACATAACAAATAGAAAATACCAAAAATTAAGCACAATAGTAAATACAAGATCAAGAAAATGTTTTAAATGCGTGAAACAACAATAACAATAAAATTTACCAACAATATTGTTACGACAGCGGAAGTCACGCGACCTGGGAGCATGCGTGCTGGAGTTACTAGAAGGATCATGAATTTTC